GAAGCAGTCTCGTTTCTGCACTTGGCTCGGAGCTTTTCGGGGGCATGGCAGGGCTCAGCCTAACCCCAAACCTGTCATCATTTGGACAAACGCCCCGCTGAGTCTTGCAAAGTCTCACTTGCGTCGCACTGTGGTGAAAGGCTGCTGCAAGGGCGGCGGGAAGGCTTGGAAAAGGGTCGAACCTTCGTCTAAGACCAAAGGTTATGTCAGAGGCACCAAAGGCCTCACCCTCACGAGCGCGTACCCCACGGAGTTCGGCAGATGCATGTCAGCACTTGCCGAGGAGCTCCTCGGCCATCGGCCCCAGTGAGATTTTGAGGCGGGGGAGGCTGGGAGGTATAGGCAGGGACGTAAAGGCAGAGAGGTATACTGGGCAGGGAGGTATAGGCAGAGAGGTGCAAGGCTCCAGCAGTCCTGACAGAATTCGATATCAGCCACGCTCCCGGCCACGCTCGTGCACGGGAGATCCTTGCGGCGCGCGGTGTGTGAAAGACACGCCATGGACATATCTTTGGATCGGGCGGTGTTTCAAAACACACGGCAAAGCACACGCTGCGCTACGCTAGCCATCGGAGGATGAGGAGGCGGAGGAGGAGGCGGAGGAGGATGACGAAGGTTGAGGAGGCGGAGGCGGATTACCTCATCCAGGTCAGAGTGAGGTGGCCGAACGGTCTTACAACGTCCCTGGGCACGGGGCCCTCTCGGGGGCTTCTCGGAGCCGCCTCGGGGCCCTCTTGGATCAGTCTTGTCTTGGGGCTTTCGGAGGGCCCCTCCCACCGGCCGAAATCTGCGGGGGCTGAATTCTTTCCAGGGCGAGCGGCTAAACCGTTAATATTGTGAGGTTGCGGGAAGGTGGAAAAGGCCCAGCCGCGCTCCTGGGCGGTGGGAGTGGCCTCTGTGTCCCCGCCGCCCAGGAGTTGGCTGGGCAATCTGCCCTCTCGTAGCCCTAATGCCCACCTCGCGTGGGCGACTCGCCCTCCTGCTCCTCCTCCGCCTCTCCTCCTCCTCCTCCTCCTCCTCCTCCTCCTCCTCCTCCTCCTCCTCCTTCGGGACCGCCACGGGTCAAGCAATGAAGCAATGTCTTTTTCGGTTGCCCCCGCCGATCCCCATCCAGAGCTGCTCATTCCCGACCCCCATCCAGCAGCGCGCATATGGATAGAGTTCTCGGCTTACGACGACTGGTGCGCGACCTGGTGGGGCATGCAAGGCGGCTTCATTAGACGGTCGCTATACGATCTGGACCCGACGATGAAGCGATGGGACGAGGATAGGAGGAACGGCGACGACGACGACGACGACGACGACGACGACGACGACGGGAGTGTCCGACAGGAGCTGGAGCTGCTGTTTCGTCCGCACCTGTCTGATTTACTGCGGTACCCGCTGTCTGATGACCCTTACACGGTTTGGCTTCGCTCGAACGTTCTCGGAGCCAGGGTTCGCACGATCGAAGCTTTCCACCGTGAACTGGCCGCGCGACACTCGCCGCTCCTCTCTGAGGACATGGGCGAGGGTAACGAATAGGGAAGTTGGCAAATCGAGGAGTGGGGAAACGGAGTGGAGGGAAGGAGGGGGAGGCGGAGGAGAGAGAAATACACCCCAGGACGAAGTGGTTTGGGATCTGAGGGCGATCGAGGATGAGGCCAACGACAGGGCCATGTCGGACAGGGAGTCGGGCGATGCGACGGCGTGAGAGCTCCCGTAGAGGATGATGATGAGGAGGATGAAGAGATAGGAGGAGTATGATGACAATGAGAGTGATGAGGACGATGGTGATGAGGGTGATCATGATGATGAGGATGATGATGAAGATGACGGTGATGATGATGATGAGGATGATGATGATGGCGATAATGATGAGGATGATGATGAGGATGATGATGCTGAGGAGCATGATGATGAGGATGATGAGGGTGATGAGGAGGAGGAGGGATGACGAGTAGGAGGGCGAGTAGTAGGATAGAGAAGTGGGAGAGAGGAGGAGGAGGAGGATGATGAGGAGGAGGGGGAGGAGGAGGAGGAGGAGGAGGAGGAGGACGTGGAGGAGGACGTGGAGGAGGAGGAGGAGGAGAAGGAAGAGGGCCCCGCTGACCCAAGAGCGAGTCCGCAGCTCGGGGAACGATTAAATTGCGCACGCCGCCTACAGGATCGGGCGGTCCATCAACGGGGGGTTATGGGGCCCTGAAGGGACCGTTTTGCGGCCTTACATGGCCTCTGTCGGGCTTTGGTGGGCCCCCTGACGAGCCCTAGTGGGCTGTGTTTTTTCTTTCGTGTTTCGGACCGCCCCAAATGCCTTTTTGATTTTTTTGGAGACCTCCCTTGATGGGCCGCCCGCTCCTGTCCGCCCCCCTGGCCTCCTTCCTTCCCGGCCCCGCTGCCCCCTCTACGCCCTCCCTCCCGCTCCTCCCTCCCGCTGCCCCCTACACCCTCCCTTCTCTCTCCTGCCTCTCCTGCCTTCCCTCCCCCTCCCTCGCGGGGCAGGCGGTCCTCGGCCGCCTCGTTGGTGTCGTCGTGCACCCGCGGCGGGCGCGGATGGCACGGCGCGCGCGCGCGTGCAACGTGCAGGGCGGGCGCACGGATGGGGAACGCATCGTTTTCAAAACGGGGCTCCCGCCATAAAGCCGACTATCGTCCTGGATGTCTTGTAAGAGCTGGATGGCGGCCCCGTTTCCGTCAGGAATGGCGCCCTCGCCTTTTCGCCGCGCAACCTTGCGAAATGCGCGTTTCAATGGGGGTGGTGGAGGGCATAATTGTTTAAATATCATAATTAGAGACCGCATGTTGTGCATCAACACGTTGATAGCACAGCATTGCGCCGACTTGCATGAACGCTTCGGTTTCTAAGCCGAGCGTGCTCCAAGCCAATGAATATATTACCATTGGCTGTGAAGTACGAAATCACCCTATTGAGTTGCACCGACTTGAAACAGAAAAAGGATCATTGCACAATCGTGTTTGCATATATGCGTGCTCGCACTGTGCATGGTTAAAATTTGAACGTGTTGTCGTACAACATACGAACATGCACAATTGGCAACGACTAGTACATTGTACATGCACAGCACACACAATTACATAATGCATATATCATACATATGAAAATATGACATGTTCTAGGTGCGTAAAACGTTACATCTATATATACACCAATCATGTCACACATATATGTGTATGTGTGTTGTATGTATATGATATGACATGTTATATAACACTTCGCGGCTTACATAGGACTTCACTGCTTAAACAGAACTTCAAGTGTTGTGCTGTTACACTCAAGGCCAAGACAGCACTTGACTTGCTAGCTGAGACCGACAAGGACCTCTGGGTACGTCAGGCCTGTCCCTCTACAGGGGGAATATCCAAAAACAGTAGAAAAATATTCTTGCGACGATTTTTGTTGAACCATTTTCGAATATGAGGACGGTGTTGACAAGGGCCCGCGGGGGAGGTGGAAACGCCGGGGCCGGGCCGGGGCCGGGGCCGGGGCCGGGGCCGGGCCAGGGCCGGGGCCGGGGCCGGGCCGGGCCGGAGGGCCGGGGCCGGGGGGCCCGGGGCCGGGGCCGGGCCGGGGCCGGGGGGCCGGGCCGGGCCGGCCGGGGCCGGGGCGGGGCGGGGGCCCGGGCCGGGGCAGGGCCCGGGCCGGGGGCTGGGGCCGGGCCCGGGGCCGCGGCCGGGGCCCGGGCCGGGCCGGGGCCGGCCGGGGCCGGGTGGGCCGGCGGGGCCGGGCCGGGCCGGGCCGGGGGCCGGGGGCCGGGGCCGGGGCCGGGGCCGGGCCGGGGCCGGGCCGGAGCCGGTTTGGGGCCAGGGCCGGGCCGCGGCTGGGCCGGGGACAGGCCGGGTTGGCGAGGAGGGTATCGGAGGAAGCTCGGACGAAGCTCGGACGCGGCTCGGGAGAGGATCGGGAGAGGGAAATCGGAGGAATACCGGAGGAAGGGGAACGGAAGAGGATCAGAGGAGGTTCGGATGAGCAGGAGGGTGAGGATCTGAGGAGGCTCGGAAGAGAACGAGCGGGGAAGGAAGATCGGAGGAAGCTCGGCAGAGGAGGAGGGGGAGGGGGGAGGAGGAGGATCGGAGGAGGACGATCGGAGGATGCCCGGAGGGAGGTCAGAGGACGACGATTGGCGGAGGCTCGGATGAGGAGGAGGATGAGGAGTAGGAGGACGAGGAGGAGGAGTATGCCGATCCCCCAGGGCCGATTTTCCCGTGAAACGACCTCCAGAGGCCTGGGGGTAACGAAGAAACGCGATCGGTCCCGGGGCCCCTCGTGGGGTGAATCGTTCACCCTGGATGGATCTCTGCCGGGGCTGGGTCCGGGATCGGGCCTGAAAGCCAGAAAATTATCCTGGCGAAGGACCCAACCATGCGCATGTGTGAGTGCAGCAGTTGTGAATATCTTCTTCGGTGGAGCTCCCTGTGGGGCCACGAAACGTGTGAGGGGTGTGCCAAGTCGGGTGAGGCTGACGCATGCGGGCGGTCCTACTCGGACCTTCGGTGGAGCTCCCTGTGGGGCCACGAACCGTGTGAGGGGCGTGCCGAATTGGGTGTGGCTGACGCATGCGGGCGGTCCTACAAGGGCCTTCGGTGGCACTCCCTGTGGGGCCACGAAACGTGTGAGGGGTGTGCCGAAGTGGATGTGGCTGACGCATGCGGGCGGCCCCACTGGGCCCTTCGGTGGAGTTCCCTGCGGGGCCACGAAATGACGACGACGACGACGACGACGATGATGATGATGATGGTGGTGGTGGCGGGAGGAAGGAGGAGGAGGAGGAGAGGAGGAGGTGGGACGCGGGGCGCTGTCTCTTCAAAACGAAGACCAAACAACACAGGTTGGTTGGGAAAAAGACTCGCCGCGTTGCGGCGACAAGGGTGGATAATAACGACGGATGGTCGATGATCGATGTTGATAACTTCGCTGCGTTGAAAACCGAAATCGTTGCGACCGTCGCTCGGCGACGGCAACCGAGGCGCTCGCGCCGCCCGGAGGGCGCGCGTTACCGGCGTCAGGCGGCATTCTTGAATGCATCGCCCAGAAGGGACGCCGTCTGCATGAACTTATCCTTGCCGAACTCGGAAGCCACCTCCCGGACATCATTCGCATCTTTCATCTTATGGAGGACGCGATACGAGAGGCCCAAGCGGGACTGCATCTCCTCGAAGACGGCGTCCTTGTGCTCTGGGGGCACGCCACGCATGAGCACGCCCGACCCCACCCCTTGTAGCACGGCGATGCCAGCGGCATCGACGAACCGAAACATCAGGCGAAGTGAAGCTTCGACCGCCTGCGGGATGGACCCGCTGAACGAGCCCCTGTTCTTGGCGGCCGTGTACGGGTTCTGCGCTGTGCCCAGGATGGACACGAGGATCTTCTTCTTCAGCGCGGAATCCCCCGCGAAGCTCTCTGTTGCCAGGGAGGGCTCTGCGCGGAGCCTCTTGGCCCCGGGGGCCGCCCCGGCCTCTTCTTCACCCGGCGAGAGCGGAGCTTGCGTGAGCCCGGGCGCGGCCGCGGGGGCCGGCGACTCGCCCGCGCCCGCCGGCCCGGGCGCGTCGCCCGGCGGCGGGGGGGCGCCAACCTGCGATGCCGGCACCTGCTGGTGGCGCACGTCGGCGACGGCAGGGGCCTCGAGTGCGCGGAGCTCGTCGAAGTCCACCGGCTTGCCGTCAAAGCACGTCCTTCAAGCCCTGGCAGATCGCGTTGGCGACGTCCTGGTTTCCCTCCTCGCGCGCGCCCGAAGCGTCCTCGGGCGCCAGCTTGCGCAATTCCGGGAGAACGACCTCGGGGTCCCACTTCATCATGCGGTTGGCGGCCCTCACGAAGTTCTCGCTATTGGCTGCGTACGTGGCCACGCTCGCACGACCGTCTGCGACCAGTAGGAAGCCCATGTGTGTCAGGATGATGTAATCGAGCTGCAAGGCCTTTATGTCGGCGTCCGTGGTAAATGGGTTCTGCGCGAAGGCCTTGACGTTCCAGTGGTTCGCGATGCGCCGCAACGTCTCCATGGGGTTTACCTTGGACGCGACATCGTGCCCCACGAGCAGCTCCGCGGACGCGAGCGTCGGGGGCGGCATGGCAGCGAAACGCGCGCGGGCCTGCATGAACTCCCTGGCCACGTCCTTGGCGTGCACCGTCATCTGGAAGTTCTTCGCGAACCACTCGCCCAACGCCGCGGCGGCGTCCACTGATGGGCGCGCCACCTCGGGCGGTATCTGGCGCGGATCGAGGCCGTCCAGAAGAGCATCGATATGTTTGTCGGTGTACTCCCCCAGACATTCCACAATCCCTTCGCCGGTCATCTCCTGCACCTGCTCATCAGTCTGGCCCGCCTTCTTGAGTAGGAATGCGATCCCCGACGTCGACGGGCGGGATGAATTGGAGAGTCCGTGTCATGTCCTTCCGGACGGCGGAGTACTCGCTGACCTCGCCCTCGCCCCTGGACGCCCTGGCCTCGCCGCGGACGTAGTCGGCTGACTTATTAAATTGGGTGCGAAAGTGCTCCCGGACATCGGTGGCCCAGGGGGGGAAGTGCGTCCCGCGCACATTGGAGAAGCGGTCGCGATTGAGCTTCCCGTCGACCTTCTCGCCCTGGCGCTCCCGCCCCGCCGGGAAGAGGAACGAGGAGACGAGCATGACCCCGCCCAGCGCTTGCACGACGTCGTCGTAGCCCAAATTGTTGAAGTAGTCGGGGTCGTCAGCGACGATCCGGGCAATCTGCGGCGACGGCAGATCGGGCAGGATCTCATTGACCACCGCGGAGAAGTGCCCCACGAGGAAGCGCATCATCCCCGCCGTGGTGTCTGGCTTCTTCGACTGGTCGTAGACCTCTTCGACGTGCATCAGGACTGCCCCGCGTAAGTGCGGATTCCGCACGCGGAACTTGTTCTGGTTGTTGCCGGGGTGGTTCTTGTAGAGGTCGTGGTCGTGGATCTGATTAAGGTCGTCGATCCCGCCGCCCGGCCCGCTGTCGAACGTCTGGGGGAGCCAAGTCTTCCCCTCGTGGAGGGCCAGAAAGGCGGTGTCCTCCTGGGCTTGCATGAATCCCCCCAGACCAACGAAAGTGCCCTTGTTGAAGATAGAATCCTTGGCGGGCTCCTTCTCGGGCTTGGGGTGGTTCTCCGGGTCGAGCTCGTGCCTCGCGGCCGCGGCCTCGCACCTTCTCTTGGCCCGGGCCTCGCGCGCCTGGTCGTAGAAGGACAGGATTTGCACGTCGAGCCACAACGCGACGGACTTCCCGTCACCGGGCTCGCCATGCTGCAACATCAGCAGGTTGCAGTGGCGCTCGAGGATCCCGCCGTACTTTACTCTACAGGCTTACGCCACATCCGCCGACCCCTTCTGCGAGTGTTGCGAGGCCAGGAGTTTCTGGCCAGCGGCGTCTTGTGTGAGGGTGCGGTGTCGCGCGCGGGTGGTGGCAGATACGTAGGGGGTCCAAATGTTTGCGTGATGCCGGTGGTCTGGGGCGTGTTTTGCGAGCGCTTTGCGCGCTGTGCACCCGGGTGCGGGGTGTCCTTCTGGGAGGTCGGCCTTTCGACCCGCAACCAAGTGGAGGAGCACTGGAAGACGAAAGGAGCAAGAGTAGTGTGTGGAAGCTGTGATCAGCGAAGCATCACAGCGAAAGATGTGGCAGATGAATCGAAACGGGTGAAGAGGCTGTTGACGTTCGCAGCGCGCACGAAACAGTTCGCGCGGCAGCAGCACATTAGCGCCGAGCAAGATAGTGAGCACGTCGCGAGGAAGAGTAAGGTTGTATGCGCGGAGTGCATTGCAGTTGGCGTGACGGCTCGCAATACGGAAGCGTCTGGGGGTCTTTTGGGGGCCTCCTGGGGGCCTCTTGTGGGCTCCTTGGGGCGTCTTGGCGGTTTCTTGAGGGCCGTTGGCGGCCTGTTGGGGCGCTCTTGGGGCCCCCTGGGGCTCGTGGGGGCGGAAAGCTAGATTTTTGAATTGTTGGTTGCCCTCTTGGGCCCCTCTTGGTGCCGTCTTGGAGCCTTCTTGGGCCGTTTTGGGGACCTCTTGGGCCGTCTTGGGGCCATATTGGACCGTCGCGGGGCCGTCTTGGGGGCCTCTTGGGCCGTCTTGGGGCGGTTTTCGGGGCTTCTTGGGCCGTCTAGGAGCGTCGGAAAGCCCAGAAGGCGGATGTGTGAACATTGTACGTTTCACGACGGGAATACGTACATGTCTGCGTCCAGGGACCGTCTTGGGACGCATCTTGGGGGCCTCTCAGGGGCGTGTTGGGCCATCTGGAGGCCATTTCGGGTGTCTTCGATCGCTCTTGGACCGTGTGGGACCATGTTGAGCTCTCTTGGAAGCCACTTGGAGCGCTCTTGGGGCCGTCATCGGGGCTCTCTTGGGCCGTCTTCGGCGCCGCTTGAGCCGTCTCAGCGCCTTGTTGGGCTGTCTTGGGGCCCTCTTGGAGGCTTCTTGGGCCGTCTTGGGGCGGTCTTGGGGGCCTCTTGGGCCGTCTGGGAGCGTCGGAAAGCCCGAAGGGCGAATTTGTGAAACAAACGCACGCTTTACGAAGGGAACGGGCTAAATTTTGCGTCTAGAGGCCCTCTTGGGACGCATCTTGGATGCCTATTGGGGCCTCTTGGGGGCATCTTGGGCCGTCAGGAGGCCATCTTCGGTGTCTTTGATCGCTCTTGGGCTGTCTGGGACCATATTGAGCTCTCTTGGAGGCCACTTGGGGCGCTCCTGGAGCGCTCTTGGGGCCCTTTTCGGGGCCCTGTTGGGCCGTCTTGGGCGCTTGTTGGGCCGTCTTGGGGCCCTCTTGGGCTATCTTGGGACCCTCTTGGGGGTTTCTTGGGCCGTCTTGGGGCAGTCTTCGGGGCCTCTTGGGCCGTCTTGGAGCGTCGGAAAGCCCAGAAAGCGAGTTTGTGAAAATTATACGTTTTACGAAGGGAATGGGCCACATTTTGCGTCTAGGGACCCTCTTGGGACGCATCTTGGAGGCCTCTTGGGGCCTCGTGGGGACCTCTTGGGCCGTCTTGGAGGCCTCTAGGCTCGTCTTGGGGCCATCTTGGGCGTGTGGGAGCGCTCGTTTGGCGTCTCGGGGCCCTCGTGGGCCGTCTTGGAGGCCTTTTGGAGCCTTCTGGGCTCGTCTTGATCCCCTTTTGGGCCCAAAAGAGCTCCGCGACGCGCTCGTGCTGGGCCCGGGGGGGGGGGGTCAAATCTCCGGTTTGGGGCCCCTGGGGGGGGGGGGGGATTATGGGGGGGGAACTATCTCACACGCCTAGGGACCCACGAGGGGTCGGCGGATTTGCACGGCGCCGAGAGTCGCGGCAATGAGGAGAAGCAGGTGGACGTACACGCAGGACGGGTGCAGCGACGTCGCCCGCCCCAGCGCCGCCGCGATGGCCCGCATCAGCGGCGACGCGCGCCGCGCGATCTCCTCTGGAAACGGGTTCTGGGTCTCCATGATGCGGTAGGCTGCCCGGATCTCTCCTTTGGCGAGCGCGGGGGGCAGCGCGCCCTCGGCCGGGCGGGCCAAGCGACGGGCGCCATTGACCGCCTCGGCGACGCCCGCCAGGCGGAAGCACATCAGGAACATCAGCGCGCTGGCAGGCGGCATGGCGGCGAGCAGCGCGGGCTCAAGGAGGGCTGGCGGGCGGCGCGGCAGCCGGGCGGCGCAGCTCGCAGACTCGATCGAGACGGTCTGCGGCGGGCATCGAGGGGTGCCTGCGACTCCGCCGACGCCGGAAGGGGCCTACTCGTCAAACGGATCGCGTGCATCACGTCACTGACACAGCTGTGCAATGCGCCCCCTACGTGCGTGACGCAGACTAAGCGCGGGGGAATGCGCGGTGCACGCTGCGCGGCAATGACAACGCGCCCGGTGCGACGCATGCGCGCGCAGCCAATGTCGTGCAAAATGTGCAATGCAATGGATGTCGTGCAACGTGCTGCGCGGCGCCCCTGGAATGGCGCGCGGCCGCCCCGTGGCCCAGGCTCCATGAGCGGGGCCCAGCGGGACTTCGCGGACGGGGCCGCACGGGCAGCAGAACGAGGGGGGGGCCTTGAAGTTCCCCAAACAGAACTTGCGAAGAGGGGTTCTTACTTGGCTTAACTATCTCGGAATGGCTGCCAGCTTTTGCGCGCGGTGCCGCCCGCGCCCGCCCTGTTGCCGCCCGTCGCCTGGGGTCGGTTTCCAGCTTTTGCGCGGGGTGCCGCCCGTTGCCGCCCCATGGTGCATTGCGCCGCGCAGATAGCACTGCATAGATTGCACTGCAGAAGTTGCATCGCATACATTGCACTGCATAGATTACACCGCATGGATTGCATGCATTACATGGGTTGCATCGTATACATTGCACCATATGGGTTGCACCGCATAGAATGCATCACATAGGTTGCACCGAAAACATTGCACCACATAGATTGCACCGCGTAGACGGCAAGAGCCTACTGTTTGGGGCCCACGCTGGCCAACGTGAAACATTGTTTGAAGACATCGAATGGGGGGCCCTCGAAAAACCACCGCGCCCGTGCCGAACGGCAACGGGCGAGCCGAAGCGGCTCCTTTCGCACCAGGGGCAGCCCCGCCCCTAACCCCCCTGATCGCATGTTTCCGCCAAGCGCCCCCTAGCGCGCCCTATGGAGTCGCCCCCGCTCATGACCCCCTGGATCGCTGCCGACTTCGCCGCCGCGCGGCCGAGAGCATTGCCCGGTCGGCGCGATGCCGCGCGCGCGGCCGACGGGGGCGCGCAAGGTGGATTGGGCTCCGGGGGGGGGGCGGGGGAAGGGGGGGGTAAACGACCTGGGATCGGCGATGCATCGCCGATTGATCGGCCATGGCCCCAGAACGGCGACGCGCAGGCGACCGAGGTCGACGCGCCTCTCTCCCTGAACCGACCCCCCCATCCGCGCCCCCTGTGCGACGCGCGAACCGCCGCCGCTTCCCGGGCGGGCGAGGCCGAAGCCAAACTGCCAGCGAGGTCGCCCTCGCGACCTCGGCTGCCCCGACCCCCAATCACTCCGCTCGCGCCAGCCGCCGCGGGCGCGGGTCTGGTAGGTCAGGGTCGCGTCTGAGGGCCCCGGCGGCGAATCGCCGGCGCTTGCCTGCCGCCTGGCGCTGCAGCCATTCATTATGGACATCGAACAAAATCCGCGACCCCCTTTGGGGGCCCCCGTCGCAGCAGCAGGGCGCAGCGCACGGGCGCGCTCCGAGCTGCTGGGCCCCCGTGCGCCCCATCGCCCCCAGTCCGCCAAGCCCAGTAGGCGACCGCCTATGAACCCTCCCCCCCCCCCACGATTTCTATGGGGGGGTCACTTCGTTTGGGAGCTCCCGGACGAAGAGAACCCCACCACCCCCCTGAGAAATCGTGTGTGTGTGTGTGTGTGTGTGTGTGTGTGTGTGTGTGTGTGTGTGTGTGTGTGTGTGTGTGTGTGTGTGTGCGTGTGTGCGTGTGTGTGTGTGTGTGTGTGTGTGTGTGTGTGTGTGTGTGTGTGTGTGTGTGTGTGTGTGTGTGTGTGTGTGTGTGTGTGTGTGTGTGTGTGTGTGTGTGTGTGTGTGTGTGTGTGTGTGTGTTGTGTGGTGTGTGTGTGTGTGTGTGTGTGTGTGTGTGTGTGTGTGGGGGGGGGGGTAGGGTTCACAGGCGGTCGCCTAGCGAGAGCCAGGGGTCCCGTCGGAATCGGCGAATCAGCCATGATATCCACCAGTGGAGCTGGAAATGCGCCCTCGTCATCTCGAGGCACACTCGCGTCCTGGGGCTGATCCACGCGTTGAGCTGCTCGCAAGCCTGGGAGGCCTACAGAGAGACACCGACACCAAGATCGGAGGTCACCTCCATCGAGGGATGTTGACCCACGATTCCGGTGTTGGTGGTAATATTTAGGCTTAAGGTTGCCTAAATATTACCACCAACACCGAAAGCGTGGGTCAACATCCCTCGATGGAGGTGAACCCCGATCTTGGTGGTGGTGTCAATCTGTAGGCTCCCGAAAGCCTCCGTGTTCTTGGACTCCAGGAACTTTGCGTTCGCCGGCTGCAGCGGGTCCACTTCCGGGAGCGCATTGAGGCACCACGTGTGGTTGTCCCGGTGGAAGCCGCCCAGGACAATGCACACTTCCTCGGCCAGCGATTTGGTCCACGGCAGGCAGTTATCCTTCTTGACGCGCGCCATGGAGAGCAACTTGCAGGCGTTGTCATAGCCGAGCCACCCAATGACGCAGCCGAGGTCCTGGGCGCCCTCGCGCGCGATCGAGCGGCCCGCGAAAACGAGCGCGAGCTCCGCGGAGGGAAAAGGGCAACCTTGGATAGTAATGCGTAACTGAACTCGCGCACCGTGCGACATCCCGGGGGTCGCCCAGAGCCCTCTGGAGCCGCGCTGCCCCGGTGCCAGCCTTTTCCCCCCCGGGAGATCACCCCGTCTTCGCGGGGCGCCAAATCGAGCGACTTCCCCCGCGGCGACCAATGGGGGGGTCCTTGTGGAGCCGCAAAGCGAAAGCGTACACCACCTCGATGGACTCGCCGCGGGTCAGCTCCATCCAGTCCATGAGCCAGCCGCAAGACGTGACGGCTGTCATAATGCCGCCAGTGCATCTCCTGATCTTGTCAGAGTCCTGGAGCTGATCGACGCCGCATGCCAAGATGGACTGCTCCTGTTGCGCGTTCAGCGCAAGCCAGCCGCGGCACTGCTTGCGCTTCGTACCTGCAGTGTCGCCGCCGCCGCCCGCGGAGCTGCTCGCCGTCTGCGCCGCGGTGGGGCGGGCGGCCGCGGGGCCGACGCGGCCGGCTCGCTTCGGCGCGGGCGCCGCCCGCTTCCCGGGCAGCCCCGCGGCTCCCGGTCGGCGGGAGCGGGCCGTCGCCGCGGAGGCGCCTGCAGCATTGTCGCCGCCGCCCGCGGAGCTGCTCGCCGTTTGCGCCGCGGTGGAGCGGGCGGCCGCGGGGCCGACGCGGCCGGCTCGCCTCGGCGCGGTCGCCGCCCTTTTCCCGGGTCGCCCTGCGGCTCCTGGTCGGCGGGAGCGGGCCGGCGTCGCGGAGGCGCGACCGCGGCCGCGGCGCCCCCCGGCGCCGCCCCGGCCCCTTCCGGCCGCGCCGGCGCCGGCGCCCCTGGCGCGAGGGGCGGCACTGGCGTCAGTGCGCGCGCCCCCTTGGCACGCCTGCATCTGCCCCTTCAGCCACCGCGTGACCTGCCGATGGCCTGTGAGCCACGCAGGCCGCGCCTTCTGGTTCCCGTGGCCCCCAAGTGCTGGAAGCAAGGACTTCTCGTAGGCCGCCAGCAGCTCGGGGGATACCTCCGCCCTCGGCAAAAAGGCATCGAAAGACTCGCTCGGGTTGCCCGGGTCCGAACAGCGCACCAAGTACTTGAGCGAAGACCCTTCGCAGGCGTGGGCTTCCGCGGGCGCGACGCCCAGAATCTGCGTCTGCGGGATGAGATTGTTCTGCCCAACGCGCCGCGTCTGGCACTGAGCGCAGAAGAACCGCCCCGCGGGGGCATTTTGCAAACACCCTGTGTAGAGCTCCATCTGCAGCGTGCCCATGCTTTCGTAACCGTCTAACCCACCGCAGATGAAACGACGCGCCCCGTACTTCCCGTCAAGTAGGACAAGTAGCTCACCCGCGCACTTCGGGCATCCACGGGCGCGGCCAACAGCGCGCTGAAGGCGGGCGCGGCGCGCGGCGGGCGCGAGGGCGAGCAGCGTCGACTCCAAGCCGCACCGGGTGAAAGACCACTTGACATCGGACGCGGCGCAGCCGGCAAGGCGGACAGCGCGGTGCCCGTACCACGCGTCCTCCAAGCGAACGCCATTGGCGCGTAGCAGCGTCAAGTCTTCGCCGGGAATCAACCCCCGCTGTGCAATCTCAGTGTGTTGCTCGCTCCATACCAAAACTGCAGAATTGAAAGTCCCCCCGCTGTGGTGCAGTTCATCCGTGAGGAATTGCAGGAGCTTCGCGTCCACGGCGTACCAAGCTCTGCCCCGTGGGACGACGAAATATTTGAGGGGGCTGATCCCCGCGACGAGCTTGATGTCTGTCATCCTCCCATAAGTCCCTCGCCCAGAACTTCGGTCGTGCTTCTCGCATTGCCATTGCCCGAGAAAGTGCAGGGAGCACTTGGGACAGTACTCCCCCGAGAACGAGGCATTCTGGATCCCAGCGCCCATGGTGTAGACGCGGTACTGGGTTTCCAGAATCATCCCAGCGCCGTTGCGCCGTTTGATGTTGAACGGCACGCGGCTGCTTGTCTTCGGGCTGCAGCGCTGGAGCTCCGCATGGCGGCAGCGGGGGCAAACCCCGTGATTGGAATGCACCTGAATGGCGGGGGCCGACGGCGCAAGCTTCTGCAGGTCCTTGAGGCGCGGGTTGTTGAAGTCATAGTCAACGTCCCGACCGATGCCAACGTAGTGGCCGAGGTTCCACAACGCATTCGTCGCGGTGTTGTCTGCCAACTCGACCCCGTGGTTCCGCTCCGCGAGCGTCTTCACGAAGGGCACTGCCAGGGCCGAGGGGGCAGCGGAAAGCACCCGCGCCACATCCCCAAAGGCCGTCGCTGGGAGGGGGGCGAGCAATGTAGCGAGGGAGAACTCGGCCCCCAACAGGGAGCCTGCCGCCATTTAGCCCAACGGAGCCAGGGCGCTCGAGCCGGCGGCGGCCACGACAGAGGCGACGAAGGCGAGGGCGATGACAGTCGGCCCTCATGGGCGGGCTTTGAA